AGATGCCCCTCAGTAGATGAATGGATCAAGAAAATGTGGTATATATTCACAATGGAATTCTATGCCTCCATCAGAAAGAATGACATTGCCCCATTGGAAAGACTTGGAAAAATAAGTGAAGTAAGCCAGGCCCAAAGAAACATAGGTTCCGTGGTTTCCCTTCTTTGCAATAACTAGGATATGTCTGAGAGAAGCAGACATGGTCAGATTAGTTGATGTTAAGCGAAATGAACCCGAAAATAAGGACTCAAAAATTTTTTTCTTTCTTGCTATTGTGTCTAACATATTTATAAGATATTTCTTTCTTGCTTTGTATGTCCCTCTCCCATGGTATAACCCCTGTTTTCACTGTATTTGATGTTGGTATAATTTGTGGAGGGGAAGGGAAAAAACAAATTGTTTAAATAGGGATACAGGTGGACCCATTGCAACAATGAGATGTACAAGATGTTATGTCGAATATGTCTTATTATATATTAGTATTTTCAAAACTTGTTTTCTTTTGACAGTTACTGGGGTTTGAACTCAGGATATATACAGATGTATAACTACTGAGCCAAGCCTCCAGTTCTTTTTCTGTTGTGAATACTTTCAATGTACTATCTCACATTCTTCCCAAGCACACATCTGGACCATGAGCTGCCTATTGTAGGTTTCCTATCATAACTAGGATGGCAGATGTGCCCAATACACTTTGCTTCTTTCTGTGGCATAATATTTTGTAGACTTTTCAGCCTGCAGTAACCTGGAATCATGATTCTTCTAATCTTTGCCTCCCACATAGCTAGCATGACAGAGATATGCCACTATGCCTAGGTATAGATTGAGAAAATGTCTTGTGATTTTATTTTCTACTAGAACTGTCTCTAACTGAAATTTGTCCCCTACTTAATTCTCAACCTCTCGATCCTACAGATATCAGCCATCAATGCTTAGCTTGATATTTAAACATTTAACCTAAGAGCATTGTAAAAGGCTTTGAAAAGGAGTCATCTTCTGCTCTTCACTCCTGTCAATTGAGAACCATAAAATGTTAAGCCTTGAATGTGACATTTATTTAACCATCACAAAACACCCACTTTAAATTCATAGTGCTCAGATATTACACTCGTGTGGTCATTAGGCAGTTGCTGGGGACTCACATGTTAGAGGAAGCCAGTTCTGTTGACTTCACATGAACCTCTTTGTGTATGGACTGTAATTCTTGGCCCACGGTTGCGGGTAGAATAGATATTCTTTCCTGAGTACAGTCCATAATTGGTAGAGAGACTTCTTGGATCCAGATGTCACTACAGGTTATTATAGTACTACCATAGCATAGATGACTATGATAAGGTAAAATAGGAATATGCCCAGAACAAGAATTTTCCAGAAACAGAAAAGAAGAATTACGGAACTGCTGGCTGTTGTGGTAACCAATAATAATACTGTATGTGATATGCTAGGACTCGTGATTCCCCGAAGACCACCAGAGACCAAGATCAATGTAAGCGACAAAAGAGCCATTTATTGCAACTCGAGCTTGGTCCTCTGTGCACTTAGTAACCGATGACAGTAAGAGGCCCCAAGCATAGAATCAGCACAGTTTTTATAGTATTGAAAAAACAACTTTAAGGAACTTTTACATGAGAAATTGCATGATTGGTTGACAGTTAAAGTAAGCTAAACTGGGCAAACATGATTGGTTAAAAGTGTTATTGGAGAGAATGATCTTACTACTGGTTCACCTTATGCTGCATGGCCACCCAGCGTCTGACGATGCATCTGGAGGAAATTCCTGTTTTGTTTTGTTTCTTCAAGGATTGTTAATGTGTTTATGTCCCTAGTTGCCCAATAATTGTTTTTCTCTTTGTGTCATTCGTGGGTCGGGGTCATGGTCAATTCCATAACTTATACCTCACAAAATAGTGACTGGCTTAAAGATGGAATCACTCAGGCATCAGGCTCTTCATAAGAACATGCATATATTATGAACTGTATAACCATTTCTTTTGGTGGTAGAGGGGATTAAACTGAGGTACTGCTGCTACCACTTGAGCCATGGCTCCACCCTCTTTGTACTTTAGTCATAGAGCCTTGCTTTATGTTCAGAGAAGAAACATGACTAAATGACTTGACTTCTAAAGCACTTAAACACTGACATAAGGGAGAAGAAAATTAAAACATAGAATACTAGTTTGGGTTTAATGAAGCGTATAGATTTATTTGAAACTTTGAACATTGGTACTCCAGGGAAAATTGATTTCCAAAGAAAAAAGTCACCCATTAAATAACAATTATTTCCTTTGTTTTACCAGGCATTTGTAAAATAAATATACATATATTTATATAATATGCAACTTATAACAAAATTATATATTTTTATTATATATTAGGTTTATATCTATAATCTTTATAAACAAAAGGTATATTTTTGGAATTTGAAAATCAATTTTAGAAACTTTTACTACATTACTTGGTTTAAGCTTGCTACTGAACAGCATATGGCATGTAGGCCCTAAAATAGCATGAGGGCCAAACATGTAAGGAAAGTATTTCATAACATAACCCAAGGCCAATATATCCTGGCAAGTTTTCTGGAGGGGCTGTTTGGTTTTCTCACTTATGAAGAAACATGTATTTGATAATATTCAAATCAATCTATACTCAAAAGCTCTTTTCTCCAACCTGAGTTATTAATTATGAACTCTCAGATATTCTTCTGGGGAAAATGTTACATATCTCTATATTATTACAAGGAAATTTATAATATCACTACATACTAACAACGTACTTTCTGATTTAGGTAAGAGTAATCAAAACACAAAACAAGTTGTTACTAATTTGGCATTTACAAATTGGTAGGTTTCTTCTTGAATGATCAGAGTGCATGCATTCTTCTATTGGGCAGATACTTTTCTTGAAACTTAAATCATGAACAGAAATAAAAAAATTAAATGTATTCACATTGAAAAACTATACTTGGTGTTAAAAATAGCAACTGAAATGTATCCACTGTATACCTTGGATTAGAATATTTTCTGCCTAATCTACTACACAGTCTATCTAAATAAATACAATCCCAGCTATAAATAATAGTACTAAAATTATTTCCAAGCTCTTAGAACCACAAACATGGAAACATATGCACGATTTGACAGTTTTAAGACAAGAAATTAAAAAGATTAGGCACATATATCTCTTACACTGTAGGCTTGCTTACTTAAATGGTACTCTACTATTTGAGTCATTGCTTTTTACTCATTACTTCTGAGACATAAACTTTTCTGCTTGCAATGACTTCAAAATTTGATCCTCTGTATCTCAGTCTCCTAAGTGGTAAGGATTATAAGCATGAACACCTGGTAAGCATACTTTTCTTCTTTCTTTTCCCAAATGTTTCTTTTTATCGATTTGAGCACAGGGTATACAAAAACTTTAAAACTTGAAGAAGACTGATTTCCAGATTACTTTTGAGTATTAAAATAAATGCAAATCAATTCCTAACCAGTTTAGGCAAATGGGAATCTTGATACAATCACAGGATTCTGATACTTCTTTTTAGAGTACATCTCCCCCCCACCCTCTGCCTTGTTATAAAGAATTAAATCCAATGAACAAGGATCTAGTACTTTCTCTCACTGCTTCGAAGTAGACTGGTTAATTTGCCCTATTTCCACTTTGAGAAAGAAATCATTATCCTTAGCTCCAGAGGCCTGCGTAGTTCCCACGGACATCTGGATGGACTGGTCCCCCAGCTACAAAGAGCTTCATCTCAGGCCAGTTGTAGCAGTGTGTGTACACTGCGTTGGGATAGTACTCCAAATCACCAAAGAAGTCGACCCAGAGATCATCTTCGTTCACCCAGCCAGAGCCAGTCATCAGTTTCAACTTCCTCCCTGCAGGGTCTACAGGAAGTTCTGGATTGTGTTCGGACATGTCTTCAAGGAACTTGCGGGTGCGGATGTCATACAAGAGTAGAGCACCGTGGCCCGTGCCCACGGTGACCAGGTTCTGATAGATGCTCAATGAACGCACACCCGTGCCACCATCACGGGAACACAGCGGTGGAATTTTCTGCCGATGTTGGCGCACATCCAAGAAGGAGACATGAAACTGGGAACCCACTGCATACATGGACAGCTCGTCGCAGTAGGCCATGCACACATTTTCTCGGCAGTAGGACAGCCTCATGGTCAACAGTCTGGAAAGGTTGTCCCCCACTTTCCAGAGATGGAAGCAGCCATCTAGGGATACAGCACCCAGCTCCCGGTTTGGGGCACTGAAAGCCATAGCTCGCACTTTGCAGGCACCGGGGCTGGAAGATCCCGTAGGGATAGCCTGCATTCCTTTTGGACGCATGTGGGCATACACTGGAAGGTCAGCATTCTCACTAAGGGCAACGTCCATACCGGATGAGTCAGGATTCACGTGCCACATTGCCAAAGTGCCATCACGGGAGCCACTTATGGCCACCGTTTCATTTACCCAGATGATGGTGAAAATCCAGTCACTGTGGCCTTGGCGGTCACCCAGGCTCACAGGATCGAAGGTAGGAAGCTTATAAACAGCCAGGCTGTTGGGGTTTTCCCCACTGGTGGCCAGCAGTGTCTTGGAGGGATTTATCTCGATGGCATGGATGCCACTGGTGGGATAGGCACGTGCTGGGACAGGGATCATATCCCTCAGGAGCGGAATACGTGTCATCTGGCCTGACAGCACATCCACCACAAAGAGCGAATTGCACTTGGTGCCACACACCACCTGCCTGCCATTTAGCCACTGTGACGCGAATACCTTGTTGACAGTGCCCAAGCCCAGGTGGCGAACCCTGAGCAGGTGTGGCAGCTTCAGCACAGCATAGTCGCACAGTTGCCTCTGAAAGCCAATAGCCTCTCTGTGGCCCCATGTGCCCAGCTCACGGCCTTTCAGGCCGTACACAAACGAATGGCGCCCAAGTGACCACTTCCGCCTCTTGGACACCAATGTGGCATCACCCTGGCCGACCTCCTGGTCCTGCACCAAAGAGGCGCCAGGCCCCTCATCCGGCGCCTTGCGCTTCTCTTTACCTGGTCTCAGGTGAGCCATGGCAAGCACCAGCAATCACAAACCAAGGCACTGCTATGGACAGTGGAGGCCACGGGAGTGGCGGAGGGTAGGCTTCGTCCTGGAACACAAAGTTCAAAGCAGAGACTGAGGCCACTGCCAAATGCCGCCACTGCCACAATGCTAAGATGGCGGGGTAACAGGTGGCCAGAGGGGCGGGGCCTGGCTGTGGACGTTGGAGGTGGGGGCGTGGTCGTGTCTTAGTCTGGTCACGTCACAGAGTGGCTGCTTCACATCACAAAGTGGCAAGGCGCTGGAGCAACCGTGAAGAGCAGAAGCAGCCACAGAGTTGAAGATGGAGGAGCAACATGCGGTGGGAGAGCCATAGGCTCATCCTATGGCAGGTGTTACTTAGTGGGAGGGGGTCTGAACCTGTCTCAATGACCCATCATGGCTATGGTGAGGGAAGTGCTACCTACAACAGTGCTGGACGGCTGTGGCATCCTCCAAGTCAGTGCAAACCTGTGTAAATCAAGAAACTTTGTGGCTTAGGAGTTAGCAGAAAACTTTTGGAAGACATTGACAATGAGTGAAATTTCAAAGTTTAGTGTAAAACAAGCATCACTCCTGTGTTACCCTCTCTCATAGACCAGATAAACTTTTGTGGGAAGGTACCAGATCAAAAGTACTGCTAGTTAGGACCTTAAGCACCGTCCGGCTCATCTTCCCTCCTTCCCGGCTGTCAACTTGTTTCCCGCCGTTTGTCCCACCAGTAGTAAATTTTGAACTATGCCAACTGGACAATTTAAGTTTTGTTAGACCCATTATAAATACCTTAGGTTATAAGTAATGAGTCAGTCTCTAGATTTGGCTGGAGCTTCCCCTGTACCTGTGTGTTTTTGTTTTTGTTTTAATATACCTATTCGGGTGCTCAGTTATCTCTGTCAACACATTCTCTTGCCTGTTTTTCCTCTTTTTGAACCTAGTAGGATTCTATAGAAATAGAAACGGCAAGTGACAGAAAGATGATGGTAGTAGAGTTTGAAATTTGGTGTTGATATTCCTCCAGCACTATTCTTTCTGTTAAGGATCGTTTGTACTTTTCGGGGTCTTTCGTTGTGCCATATGAATTTTTGGATTGCTTCTTCTATTTCATTGAAGAATGAGAATTGGAATATTGATAGGTATCACATTGAATTTGTAGATAGCGTTTGGAAGTATTACCATTTTCACGATGTTGATCCTTCCTATCCAGGAACATGGGAGGTTTTTCCACTTCCTAAGTTCTGCTTTGGTTTCCTTTTTCAGGTTTTTAAAGTTTTCATCATAGAGGTCCTTCACTTTTTTAGTTAATTCCTAGGTATTTTATTTTATTGTTTGTGGGGTTATGACGAAGAGAGTTGCTTTCCTGATTTCAACCACACTATTCTTATTGTTGGCATACAGAAAAGCCATTGATTTCTGAGGGTTAATTTTGTACCCTGCTGCTTTACTGAAGTTTCGAATCAGCTCGAGTAATTTGGGAGTGGAGTCCCTGGGATTCTTTAAATATAAGACCATGTCATCTGCAAAAAGACAGAGTTTTACTTTAAACTCTACTACAAAGCCATAGTAATAAAAAAAACAACCACCTTGGTACTGGCACAAGAACAGACCTGAGGAACAATGGAATAGAATTGAAAACCCAGAAATGAACCCACAGACCTACAGCCACTTAGTCTTCGATAAGGGAGTTAAAAAATAGAATGGAAGAAAGACAGCCTTTTCAGTAAATGGTGCTGGCAAAATTGGTTAAATACCTATAGAGAACTAAAGCTAGGTCCTCATATATCACCTGCACCAGAATCAATTCCAAATGGATCAAAGACCTCGAAGTCAAAGCAGACACCCTGAAAACATTATAGGATGGAATAAGAGAAATCCTAGGTCTCCTTGGCACAGGCTGAAATTTTCTCAATACAGATCCAGAAACACAACAAATCAAAGAAAGATTGGACAAATGGGATTGCATGAAGCTGCAGAGCTTCTGCATGACAAAGGACATAGCTAGCAAGATCAATAGAAAACCCATAGGTCTGGAGAAGATCTTTATTAGCCATACAACAGATAAGGTTCTCATATCTAAATTATTCTTGGAACTCAAAAAATTAAATGCCCCCAGAGAAATCCTCAAAGAAACAACTGTACAATAAACAAGTGGGCTAAAGACTTAAAGAGACACTTCTCTGAAGAGGAAATAAGAATGGCCAATAGACATATAAAGAAATGCTCAATCTCTCTAACCATAAAAGAAATGCAAATCAAAACGACATTGAGATTCCACTTCACCCCAGTTAGAATGGGTATAATAGAGCTCTCCTATGACCCAGAAATCTCACTTTTGGGCATTTACCCAAATGATCACAAACAAGACCATACTAAAGCTACCAGCACAACTATGTTTATTGCAGCATTATTTACCATAGCTA